TTTAAATTTAGGCATAAAAGTATTTTAGTTTTTTTAGCAAAATTACAATATAGACGATAAAGAATACCCCCCCCCAAAAAAAAAAAAAAAAATGAACCAATTACAGTCTGAAATCACTCAATTAGAATCTAATCCTGCTAAAAACCAAGCCGAATTAGAATCTAAAAAGAAAAGATTAAAAGAATTACAAGACCAAGAAAAACAACTAACTGCTTCTTTACCCCTAAATACCCAAATTACCATCTTACAAAAAGAAATCAAACAATTAGAAAGTAAATCCACTAGAACTAAGGTCGAAGAAGTTCTTTTATCTGAAAAAAAGAAAGAATTAGAAGAGTTATTAAAAAAACAAAACAATTCAGATACTAATAATGCTAAACCAACTGATAAAACTGCTTTGGTGATTGGTTGTGGAGTAGTAGCAACTATCTTAATCTTTGGTATCTTTATCCTGGCGAGAATTCGCAAAAGGAAATTGAAGAATTAAGCGGTAATCAGATAAAATTAACATTTTAAACATAATAAATAACTAAAAATATGGTAAATACAAATGCACAAGAATATTTAAACGAAAAATATCCAATAGATGGGGTATGTAAAAGAGATAGTGATCTAGAAAATAAAGGTAAAACTAGAGAAGAAATAACTAAACTAGACATTAGTAAAGGTAAAATTGGAAATAATTATTTTAAGGAGGGTAAAAACTTAGTAGGTTCTTTAAGATTGGAAGGGTTTACTAATTTGCGAACTTTAATTTGCTTTGGTCATCAATTAATTGGTCTAGATGTTAGTAATTGTTCTAATTTAGAAAACTTGGATTGTCGGGACAATGAACTAAATAGCCTAAATACTACTGGGTGTCTCAATCTCAAAACAATTGACTGCTCCAGTAATCATATTAGAGAATTGGACTTAAGTGCTTGCCCTAGTCTAAAAGAGGTGGAAATAAGTAATTGTCCAAATCTTACTAAAATAAAATCTAACCTTACTTATGATACTGAGAGGAGAAAATTAGTGAAAAATGTTTTGCAACTAAATAACTCAAGCCAAAGAAAATGATATCAGGAATATCCTAATAGTTGGCTGAACAGGTAATGGCAAATCTACCTTAGCTAATGTTTTGACTGATACTAACCAGTTTGTAGAAAAAAAATGTGGTGCTAGCATAACTAAACATTTTCAAAAAAGTGAGATTTTTGAGTGAAATGGTAAAAGGTATTGTATAGTTGACAATATTGGGTTTGGAGATAATTCTAACTTAGTTGAGGAGGATATCCTGTTTAAGATAGGAGAAGGTATTCATGCTGCCAAAGAAGGAATAAATCAAGTTCTCTTTGTTGCCAAAGGAAGATTTTCTGATGAGCAAGTAATTGCCTTTGACACTTTTAAAGATTTTATCGCGGAAAGTGGTATTACTAGGTTCACTACCATTGTCAAAACTGGTTTTAAAGATTTCAGTAATTCACAGGAATGTGCTAGAGATCGGCAATCTTTGCTTGTGCAAGCCAAAAAAATTAGAAAGATAATTGAATCATGTAATGATATTATCCATGTCAATAATCCAGCGATACCTGAGTTAGATGAAGAAGGCAGCGATAACGAGCAAGAAATAATCATAACTAAGAAGAAAAGGAAGGCATCTAGAGAAAAGTTGCTAAATCATCTAGAAAATAATTGCCAAGAAATCTATAAATTAAAAGAATGAGACAGTATATATGCAAAGGTTGATGAATATATTAAAAGAAAAAAAGAAATCGAGCAAAGCAATAGTTCAACCAAAGGAGAACAATTAAAACAAGAGTGAAATGAGGTAACTAAAGGAATAAAACTCGGGCTAGGATTTAACTTGCCAGTAATTGGTGGAGTCACTGCCTCGGTGGAATATAACGCCCAAAAGAAAAAACACTCTCCTAATCAAACTTATCCTCAAAAAACCGGCATTAGCCTTTTGAATTCACAAGACATGGATATAGAAAGTGAAACAGTAACACAAAATAAGAGACCATTATCAATTTCTTCCCAAACTGAGTTATCTCGAGAAGAAATTAAGTTGCCTAAAACAAGCGAAACACAAGAAACTCAATCAGAATTAATGGAAGTAGATGAACTAGAACAAATTGTTCAAATAGAATCTCTACCTAAAAAAAAATATGACTAAGACAATAATACTAATTGGAAGAACTGGCAGTGGAAAATCTACCCTGGCCAATGTAATCAGTGGCACTAATAAGTTTAAAGAAAGCGGAGCAAGCATTAGTGAGACTAAGGACATTCAGAGTGAAGAATTTGAGGAAAATAACATTGGTTATCGTATAATTGACACAGTAGGTATTGGCGACACAAAATTAACTAAGGAAGAAGTATTAGATAAGATTGCCGAAGCAATTTATTTAGCTCGAGAAGGGGTTAGTCAAATTCTCTTTGTTACTGATGGTCGATTTGATCAATATGAGATGTTTATTTATAATTTACTAAGGATAATCATTTTTGATGAAAATATTACTAAATCATCATACCACAATAACACGCACTAACTTTGATGATTTTAAAAAGAAAGAGAAGTGTAAAGAAGACATTGATTTAATGCTTGCTAAAGGAGATAGATTGGCCGAGATAATCGATTCCTGTCAAGGCAAAGTTGTTCATGTAAATAATCCTCCGATAGAGATAAAAGGTGCTGATGAGGATGAATTGAATATAACAAAAAGAAAAGAGAAAAATCAAGGAAAATATTATTAGAGAATTTACAAGAAAGTTGCCAAAGCTTTTATAATCCTCCTAAATTAAAAGAATTAAGTGCGGAAATTATTAGTTACATGGAAAACAAATTAGAGTTAAAAAAAAGACTGAAGCATGAAAAATTGGAAATAATTGAAAGTAAGAGAAAAATCAAGGAAAATATTTCCGCTGAAGTTAATAAAATCAGTTTAATTTCTAGAGAAGAAATGGACAACATTCAAGAACTTAATGCTAAAGGCGAGAATAACGATAGTTCTAAAGAAAAAATTACAAAATTGAAAAACAGCATAGAAAAATTAAAAAAAGAAATTCAAGAAAAGGAGGAGATTATTCGGAAAAAAGTATTAGATAGTGTATTCAATAATTACAAAAGCATCATTGGCGTGCCAGGAGGTGATATTTTCATTGGCAAAGTCTTAGGTGAGGAGTTTATTGTAAAAGAGTTAGTTGATGATTGGATGGAAAGAAGATTTAGTCTCGAAGAAACTAGTGAGTGAATTAATGCTGGCTTCCAAATGACAGAGGCTGATTTCTGTGCCTGAATAAGAGATATTAAAAAACTAACTATTGAACAGTCTTTTAATTATGGGATTGGAGAATTAGTAAGTGAGTATTGTGATCAGTTAGGGAAAGAATCAGATATATTTAGTCAATATAGCAAAAAATTGGGTCAGAAAGAGAAAAATTTGAGTAATGAACTATTTGCCGACTTTCAAGAATATCTTTTTAATATTAAACCTAATCTAGATATAATTAAATTTCTGCTTTTTACCCTTGCCTAAATATTTTCT